CACAGGAGTTCTCCAGACAGTTTGTATGGCAGCTTTATGCTATAGTTGTCCGATATCGATGGTACTGATAAATGATCAGCCTGTTGTTAGAAAAACACGATATGAAAATTTGAATCTGTAAGAGGTATTATAGCTTCGAAAGCTTTTGTTTAGCATATTTAGAATAACCGGAATTAGGTCAAGTATGTACCACATTGTTCAAAAACGTTTTGCCATTTTGAAAGTAATTTCATAACACCGCTTTCATAGAAATCCTTGTCCCTATTGCCTATAAATTGAGGCAGTTGATTTTCATAAGTTTCTCTTGAGGCGAATTTTTCAACAGCACAATCATTTTTGCGTGGGCTCACCACGACTAAACTACACCCAGCACCGGAACGGAATCGTCGAAACCAAAATTGCGGTCGAACCGCGTAACCTCTTAAATTGCGTTGCTTGACCACTATATGCCACATGAATAAATCAAACTTGATATTTTGGATGAATTTACTTAGCTTTTATAAAGAATAAAATACTACAAGATATATTATCATTAACATTTCTAGTTCTGTCAACACCGATAAACAAGCTTGCCCTGCCATTACCGATTTAATCCACTTCAAATTGTGATATATATCAGTGTATAAACTTGGGGCTTCACTCCGACCACAGCCAAGAGTCCAGGAGACTACAGCTACGAATTTTGAATTGCAAATAAGTGGCCCACCAGCATCGCCGGTGCAGGGATCATGATCGAAACGACCTCTATAGCTGGCACATAAGTCACCCGGTGAGTGACGGGGATAAGCCTTTTTACAACGCTCCTCGGTAAAAAGTTCCAACCCAACGTGTGACACCTTAGCTGCATACGGTCCACCCTGCGCCAGGCAAGCAATAGACCATAAGTAGAAATAAATCAAACAAACCGATATGTAGATACCAGCTTACGTAGTAAAGTCTTCCCCAACCGAGAACTGTACAAAGCTCACCATATGGCGGTGGACGTGTGGGTAGCGGCATAATTTGCACACGCGCACTCAGTATTATACGCGACTTCAATCGAATCAATCCGATATCATTAGTGTTATGCAACGTGAAATTCCGATTCACAACAACTCTATCAACGGCCATAAGACGCGTAGTGCGACTAGGTACTATGCGATTCTCTGTACCAATCACCACAATTATTGTCCGCGGACGTCGCGGAATTTTCGTAGGACTGCACACAAAAAGGTAAATCAACAAATGAACTTACAAAATAGCATACTAATTGCAGATATTAATCTAAAAGTGATTTACATACTAGACCATACACTGCGCCGATGTGACTATCCAACGGTAACTGATAATGACGCCGGCGCAATAATGATTGTCACCAAAGTATCTGGTGGCGGTGCGTAGTCGCAGTGAGACCATGAAGCGGGTATAGTTTTGCACTGCCGGTATGCGTTGACCCCCGGCTACCAGAAATTTGTAATCTCCATCCGATGTTGAATTTGCAATAAAGGTCCTACATAACTGTGATGATTGCAGTAATACGAACACGTATAAATATATATTCACGCTACACATTACGCGAAATGTTATATAAAATTTGTTTACCAGATATACATATGTAGAATAAAAATATTATAAGAAATTTACACAAGTCACGTGGTCTACACAGGGTGTACTGAACATTTTTTTTTTTGCTTATCAGAAGTCTTAAAATAATATTTATAGTAATTTAGTTTGGAAGCTAAAACTTTTAATTAAGAAAAAAATCAGCAATATTCGCTTCCGCCAGCATCGACTTCACGCATGCGAAGAATATTGCGAATTTTGTGGCTCTGGAGATTTGCGCGCTTGCCCACATCGATTTCAGTCGTCCAAACCCCGCTCTTACTTTGCACATCCTTTAGTTGGCATCCGTTTCTATACCTCTATCAATTATTATGATTTTTCGAGTAAAAGCTGTCAATGAAACAAATTTCATGATTGTTAATCTTTATTTTTTA